CCCCTACGCCCCCCCAGTGCCAAGACAGCCGCAGGCAGGTTTATTCCCAGCACAGGGGTGAGGTGGGGAATACGGGGTGGGGTGTTCCCCCTCTCACTGAGCCAGGCCCCTGGGCACAACCTCCCCCAGAGCCCAGGCCAGGGGCTCCCTAGCTAACTCAGCTCTGCCACCCAGTGTTGCTTCCTGGGGAAATGCCACAGTAATAAATAAGTGTAAAAAGAGACCGATGCACCTTTTAAGCAAAGGAAAACCATGGGGAGGGTTACAACCAGTGACTCGAGCACAGCCGAGGTGCACAGCAGGGGGCAGGCAGGGTGAGGCCCCTTGTGGGCTGGCCCCACGAAGCCACCTGGCTCAGTGAGCCTGGCCTTGCCCTGCTGCATTCCTGGCTGTGCCAGGTGGCAACTAGCGGGACAGGGGTGTCTGTTTGAGAGAGATGAGCACCGAGCGCATCCGCGAGACATCCTTGCTCTGCTTGCTGCTCTTGGGATTGAAATCACAGAGCTGGGCCACCTTCTCCCACTCAGAGCCTGGGGTTTCCTCCTTGGACTCCTTCAGGAATGCTTCCTCCGAGGCCCTGTAGAGACGTTGAGGGTTGTCACTGGCAGAACCCTTTCCAAGGAGACCCTCCCCTCTGTCTGGGAACCCCTTGTGTCCCTACTTCCTGTCCCCTTGCTCCAGCTGATGAGCTCAGTGTCCTCCAGGATCCGGAGACACACAATGCTCAAGGCTGTTGTTGGCTGCACTCACCCAAGATAACGTTAATCCAGGGGCACGGGGGTATCTTACTGCTTCCAAGACTTCTCCCCAGAGCCATCCCCCAAAAGGCACAAGACCCCACAGCTTTGCCTCTTCAACCAGCCCCCACAGGGGCATTTCCAGTAACTCCACTTTGCCTCCTAAGATTCCACCATTTGAAGATGTTCAGATGCAGCGTCCTCCCTCCAGGACCTCGCCAGGGCCCAGTACCTCCCAGAATCCCCCCTTCCCTTGGCTGGGCAGCCAGTGCTGGGGCCAGGACCCCCAGACCCTGCGGGGCAGGATACGGTCTGTAAGAGGCACATACACATAGCCAATCACATCGGCGTCCGGCTGCTGGTAAAAGGCTTTGTCAGCGATCCTAGCCCCCGAGGCACAGACAGAGAGAGAACGCAGAGCAGACAGGCAGGCAGAGGGTTAGAAAGAGAGAAACAGAGAGGGGGTTAGCGTCCTCCCACAGAGCGTGACCCACTCATCACAGCACACATGGCACCAGGAAAACCTGCCGGTGACAGCAGGGCTGCACAGACAGTGCCCCAACCCTGCCCCGATGCAAGGCCCGCACAGGGGGCAGGAGGCACTGAGATCCCAGTGTGGTCCCAGCCAGGGTGGCTCTGCACAGCCACTGGACCCACTCAAAGCCCTAGGCCTCTCTCTGTGCCTGGGAAAGCTTTGTTCCCGCAGGGCCGGGCCCCATTGTGGGGACAGAGGCCCACATACATCCCAGGAAGGCAGATCTGGCTTCACAGCAGCTCCCATTGCAGCCCTTGTGGCCACATTGAGCCCAACATACCTGTTGTTTGCCCGGTTCTTCTCCATCTGCTCATTCTGACGCAGGTTCCACTCCTCCAGGTCCTTCTTG